TCTGCTACTCGTCAAGATATGCCTCCGGAAGGAGGCTACAAACCAATAAATTATGCTAGGATCTCCGCAAGGAAGTTTTTCACTGGTAAAATATTGTTGTTGTTGTTGTTGTCATGAAACACAAGACTAATGTAATACTTTTGTTGACACTACTTGTACGATACATATTTCATTTTCCAGGCACTACGTTAATTTTAGGATATTTGGGAGTTACTGCAATCGCTAGCTATGTATACTTCCTGACCTGGAAGAAGGTTAGGCGAGATGAGATCGAAATGAGAAGTGCCAGACTTGCATTAACACCACTTCTTACAGCAGAGAGGGACAGAGAGTATGTATTCTCACATATTTATCACTGTCTTCACTGCCAAAGAATGTTTTTACTTTACATTTTCAGATCATTCTGTTTTTTGAAGTCAATAGCAACAAATTCCAATTGTGGCATGACACAAGGAATAGGGTTCAGATTTTTGTTTTGTTCATGTACTTCAGGGTTTAGAGTATGGATGGGTTTCTCTCTGCAACACATTGCATCCCAGGCAATCTTTTAATCTGTTAATGCTCCTTCATGGGGGCCCAGATCATGCTCTCTACATTTACCTTGTGAAATCAACATGAGAAATTTATAATTACTCTTCTGTGGTGATTAATGTTTGTGAATGGTGTGTATTCCATCACAATAGTCCAATTATTGATTATATCTTTTGTATTCATCATTGCATTACTCACATTTCAAAATAAGTTCTGGGTAGTACTCATAAAACATACTCTTCTGTTGCACATACTTCCAGTCCTACAGTTTTGTGTAGTTAATTCCATATATATATGAATAAATTGGGCATAATATGCATGCAGATTTGTTGCTGTATTCTTAGACTGTGGTTTTTCATTACATATCAAGATTAAGCATAATTTACATTGCCTGTGGTACAGTTAGCTTTCAGTTTTGATGCAGAGCTTATGGTGAAAATGTGCACTGCCATTCATGCCATTACATGTCTTAATTCAGTGACAAAAGTGAGATACTTCGGAAGTTATTGCACTCAGTTTTGTCACCTCTTTTATGCATAGGAACAACAATTTATTCTTTCCACTGTTGCAGTACCTCTTGGTTTCAAATCAAGATTGTAAGCTTATGTATCTCTGAGTGCAGTGTCCTACCACCTGCATGGATTAGTTCCACTGGAATTGAGTCAGTATCTGGAGATTTATAACATTTTAATTTTCCAATGGCAATTTCAAAAATACAATCTGGGTGAAATATCATTAGTCTGCACCCTTTTATATTGCCTTTAACATCAGTATCAACGATTCTAAAGAAAGTTATCGGCCAGTAGAGACAACATGTCAGATGTGTTTCTTATTGCAGGTTTTTGAAGCAGTTGCGTCGCAATCGTGATGAAGAGGCTGAACTGATGGCCAATGTTCCAGGTTGGGAGGTCGGCACATGGTTTGGAGAGCCAATATATAAAACTCTTCCTCCTGATACTTTGATCATACCCCACGTAAAGGAATTTTATGCACATACTCCTAAAAGTGAACTCTTACGAAAAATAGATTTGAAATTGTGGGCTTAAGCATCTCCGTCAGCTACGAAAGCGAGAGGTACACTCATCATTGTAACGTTATAAATAGTAAGTTCTAGAAATATGCTTGTAATATTATTAAGTTTAGTTTTTATTACTGACTGCTGTTTACATAAATTCTGCTAATAAAGATAGTGTCAGAATGATCGTTGATTTTTTCCCCCCTCCAAATTTAAGAGCTTTTCTTACACAGCAGAGATGTGTACAAAGATTTATGTAGTCTGACTACAAAACCTGAAGAACCTTTCAGCTGCTGTTATCAAGCAGAAAGAAAATGCATTGTATTTGTTCATTTCATAGGTAAAAAATGTGTAAGTGATGTTGAGTTAGGAGCTCCTATTAAGGAGTATATTTCAGTATGAAAAATTTTGTAACAGAATTTATTTTCCACAACTTGTTAATAACACTTCTGCTTTTAATTCTGTAAGGCCACTAAAAGATTGTGTAAACTTTATTCAAGTTTCTCCAACAAAAGTCACACATATAGTGGGCCTCTATTGATTATCCAGTCATCAGACATATAACCTATAATGAACCTTTTGTCGTATGTAAAGATACACATACAACTGCTCGTTAATGTTCATTACACCATTTAAAACAGCTTCGCATAACTCATGGGGGCCATCTATGACTGTCTGTGACCGATTTCTGTATCATTATTTCCATCATCTTACACTGCAGGTTTTCTTTGACTTTGCATTCACTTAGATTTTATAAGAACTTGAGCATGAACTTCAGGCTCAGACTCCTAACCTTCCCACATTCTGGCATAGAGCACCACAGTCCTGTCACACTCCCAGTCTTGTCCCCCAGGAAATAGCAACCTGCGGAGCCCCATGGAATAAGCCATTTCTTATCCTTGCACTTCCAGGGTGACAAATTCCCCGGGACTTCCACACCTCAGGAGTCTAATGCTTGCTCATGCGCATTTTTGCCCCTCCACCCGGAGCCTTTAAAGTCAAAGTTTTGCCCTCGGCTAAATCCAGGGAGTAGTCCACACGCGTCGTAGCTTGTCCCCACAAGGGTTAAGGCAACCTCGCAGCTTGTCCCTCTAGATGGCATCTCTGTCTTTTAGCCACAAAGTCCATGCTGCCATCTATCAGCGGTGTTATAATCATTTGTGCTGCTATCTATCGCCCGTTTCATATCATTACTATCGGAAGTGGCGTAAAGAACATATAACGAGCACGGTTATAACGTGATCTCGGCTACTGCGAGCAAACAGAGAAGAGTTGGTTGGAAATTATGTATTTTAAGTGCAACATTTCACTGTTAAAAGCGATCGAGGTAGTTGAGAGCTTCAAGGGTATAACGAGTAAATCTTAAAGCCATTATAATGAGCAGTGGTTGAACTGCCGTACGAGGGACTAAGATCTATTATTGCTTTGTCCGTTTATGAGATTCTCCCCCTTATCTCTTTCCAAATCCCTACCGATAGCAATTTCTAACGCTTTTAACGATGTTTACAGTCGACATTCTTAGTCTGTTTGGTTCGATTTCAATTCTCAGAATCTCCTTTAGTGCGGTGTACGAATATCGTAGTACTCGTTAAAATATTTTTGCCTGATATCTTGAAATTAATTAGTTACAAAGTTGTTAGAGGGCGCAAAGCACGGAATTAAATACACAGGGCCGGTACCGCAAACCTAATTTTCTTATTAAATAAAGTTGGATAAAAAGAGTCCTTTTGTTAAACTAACTCCACGTACAAGAGTCCTTTATAGGATGCAAAGATGTATTATCGTGTTCGCAAGAGCCCGCCATTATATTTAATTATATTATTTTACTGCAAGGATGATACAGTGACGAATTAGATGACAAGATAGTCACGAATGCCCAGTGGATAATTTCGAAGAAGGTGGAAGGGCCTACTGAAGACGGCTATATTCTGGGTTGTGGCGCCGTGTAATCTGGTAGTAGTTTACTATTTCAGAGGTCCTTGCTGTCAACATCGTCAGGTCGACGGTACTACTTTCCGACATTTGCCGGGACAGACTGAGGAAATCCACGAAATTCCATTTACCTTAGTCCTAACCCGACAGATATTCAAATAGGATACCTCCAGATTGCAAGTGACAGTCTACCGATACATAGCTTGCTCGAACGGAAAGGGTGGGGTCGAGAAATCGATAAAACTGCATTCTTTTATAGGGTTCTGTAAATCCAGAGAATTATTCACATAAATGTTGGTTCCTGCATCGCTAAATATTCTTTTCCGAAATACTGTTATAAAATTGAAAATTTTAGGTGAGTTTGCAGCTGAAATTATGAAAATTCACCTATGTTCTTCGCCCTGTCTGTCCGTCTCTGTTCGTTGTAGCAACTCGAGAACGCTTGGTCGGTTTTATTAAAATGTGATAAAGGGGTTAAACTTAACTTTGTTGACACATCCCAGTTTTGGTTTAAATCTGACAAAATCATGGAAATTTTACATAAAAACCTACCTACGTGCTTTTCTGCGCGCGGAAGTCACTGAATGGGGAATCCCTAGTTAGACGTGGAAAGCCTCCGTATGATGACGTAATCATAAAGATAAACATTTGACACCCCACACATACGCAGAACATTGGCCCAAGACAACTTCGACGTTACAATTTACGAAGGTGAGAGGTCAGATTGTGGTAAACGCGCCAGGACAGTCACGTACATTTCCTGGTTTATTTCTGGCTGTCCTGGGAATTTCAAGGGATAAGGTAGTGAACTCATAAATACAGAATACGCATGTTTGTATAAACGTATTGTCCATTCTTACTTTATATCTTCCTGCCCGAAGTTGGTATAGGCCTATTGAACATAAGGAGCTATTAACAGAGTGATACATTGACTACAGTTTGGAGTTCCAAGAACAACAGCGAACTTGAAAGTGACGAGCAGAAAAGACACAGACAAACACACAAGTGCAGTAAATTAATCGGAGTAAACTGGAACTTTGCCCGAATTGCACCGATTGCACATTTTCAGAGGCAACAAAGTATTGTTTAGAGGAGAAATACGGAATGTCTGAAGTTAAATCAAGAATTGACACTGAATAGGGGGCATTTCATCGGGAAAAGGTTGAACTCGTTAATTCGCCGTTGCGAATATAAAGTAGAATAAATAAAAAAATAAAGATTTCCGCTTTTGGTACTGTAATTTAGCAAAACTACTAAGCTTACTTCAGCTTTAAGTTCTTGTCTATTGCAGTATATAGACTAATTATGTTTGCGTGCATTTTTAAAAATTAAATAAACCTGACTTTTGAACCCTTTCCAAAATATTTTCATTTCGTGACACCGGTGAATTAGCCCATTTACTAGACCTGATTTTATCGACGGTTTTCAAAATGGTCGAAATATTTTAATGAAGAAGCTAATTATTTTAAATTTACATCAGATGCAATCTATCCATATAATTAGGCCTAAGCAATGTTGTTTGCTTCGTTGGTTTATCCGCGATCATTTCCCGTTGTTAAAGGATTTTGTGTCTAATGTGATATTTATGAATGTGTATGCTGTTATTACCGCTGCTCTTATGGGACTTGCCTTTATAGGTAAAAAGTATCCTTGCCATGTTAATGCTGTATATTTAGAAATTGCTGTGATAAGCAGTACATTACTTGCAAAATAATGCTGTGCTGTGGAGGATTCTTAGCTTTGCCTAGATATTTTGGAATAATTCTAGCACTAATTTTACTCGCGACGTAATTTACACAAAGACGCCAGAGTTCTGAACTTAAGCCAAATCACTGAAACAGAAGGCCATCTGACCAATATATACATTAGGCTCAACGTCAATTGACGACCTAATTCCCAGGGCCGCAGCAGATAATGTGGCCTTCATTCTATCCTATTCAGACACATGGTCAGAGAGACCTCGCTTTGCAAAGATAGTTGCCACATTTTTCACACCCATCTTGAGGTGAAGCAGTTAATAAATAAATAGGTTACAGAATTGCGCATAACGCCAGTCTTACAATACATATACACTATGTTGGACGTTTTCCATTGTCTGAGGAAGAGTACATTTGATATAAACTTTCAGGATTTGGCTCTACTCCGCCATCACGCCAATGGTTTTTATAGAGACAGTTTTTTTCTCTGTTGTTAGTGACAAGTGTTAGTTAAACTAGTGGTTAGAGTACTGGTCCAGTATTCGAAAGGTCTTGGTTTCTTCCCTGACCGTTGGCATTAACAATACAGGAGCTTAAGAAAATTTTAGTAAAACACAACCACCCGCCTGAAGACAGGAGCAGAATCAGCTACCGAAACATTATGTATGTAAAATACAGGCTACCTCAAATAATAGACAATTTCCAACACAGAGTTTCTGTAATGAATCAACCATCGTCACAAGTCTTAGGACACTTTCTTTTGTTTAAAGTGGACTACAGCTGTTTCTGCAGCGTGGTGGAAAAAGTCGCGGCTTCAAGTTTACGTTTCAAGAAACGGCTGGATTATTTTCTGTCAAGACCACCATTTTGTGGGGGCGTTATTGGTTCTTATGAAGTTACTGATTTTACAACATGATAACTCGATTAGTCTATTACAGACTTTCTTGTCTAAGGCCGCCTAAATAAGGAAGTGTACGCCAGAGAAACGGAAATGCTCGATACCTAAAGGAAATTATGGTAAAATTTGTAATATTTAGAAATCAGTACTACATATGCCGTACAAAGTTTATAGGTAGGCTATATTTATCTCTTACTAGAATTTATTAGTTGTCGTTTTCAGACGGAAAACCAAATACTAATTTCGCTAAGTCGCCGTGTTGTTATAGCAATACAACAAAGTGTCAGTTTAATAACGCTTAATATTCTTCGAAAATGTAACATAACCAACGTCATACAAAATGTGTCGATTTTGTATTAAATTACATCAGTTTCACTCTCATTTCAGGCTTTCGCGCGTCCGCCATGTTCGCATTTTTCACAGTAGGAAACTATTATGCACAAAGATGGAGTAGTCTCCAATGGCAAGTCGATTGTACAAAGTTTAATGAAAATCCGTCAGTTGATTCAAAAGTCTGATGATGTCTGTATTTCCTATGTTACAAGTAAAGTAGACCAAAACACGTATTATTACACAAAATTAATATTGAAATTTCCGTAATGGAAATCATTTACCACTTTGTCTTGGAACCAAGACAATTCTTTGCAGCAGTGGTGAAA